AGCTTCAACCACAATGCAACAGTCTCTTTGAATGCCTACATGACTTGAACACAAGCAGCCGATTAGAATTAAATATCTTAGTCACTTTTACGGTTTTAGTGAAGGATCTTGGTATCTTTCCATTCCTGAGAAAAGTCTCTGATGCAGAACGGTCCCGCAAAATCTGAAAAATAAGAGCTGAGCCACCGTCCCAGCAAGAAACCCTCCGAGTGTGATACTTCTTCACTCTGTTTGCACAGATAAACCCCCACCCTGCTCCTCGCCCTCCGCAGCAAACACCAGCCCGCTGTTCCCAGTTCCAATCTGCCTCGCTGCCAGCATTGAACAGGCTCCCTCCAGGGACCCCGGCAAGAGGCTGTCTGGGAAAACACCTGGGAAATATGATTAGAAATAGAAAACTATTCTCAAATGTGGTGTTTTTTTCAAACAAGTTTACATGCAGTTTTCCAGCTTTGTTCTTCTCCTGATGACCGTCCCAGTGCATGATTTATTATTTTTTTTAAAGCCTCTTTTCTTTGCTGAGCCTGAGATGGTTCCTAGTTCTATCACCATGCAGCTGCTGAGCATGAGCTTTGGCATCAAGTGTTTATTCATTTAAGTGAAAAGTAGAGCAGAGTATAGCATAAGTGACATGTCAGCACAGAGAAGAATAAGCTAGGACTCAAAAAACATCTTCCACGTAAACAGGAGGAACAAAATCCACGAAATGCCCATGTGCTCGGCAGCCAGAAATTAGAGCCAGACGTGTAATTCTTGTGCAAGCATTTTGTCCCTTTCAGAAGAGACAAGAACTGTCTCTTGAATCAGTTAATCAAAATCTCAGCTGATTATACCATCCGCAGTTTGTTTCCCAGAGAGCTAATTGAGAACATTCAGAGATTAAGTTGGTTTCAATGGGCACATCCATCTCCATGGTGTGGGCTTCAGCTCCCAGACAAATCTGGCTCTTCACTGAACCAGGTTTGCATCTAGCCAAGATTAGGGAGGGAGAGAAAAAACAGCAAAAAAATACTCCATCATAATCATAATTATTCCTTGCCCAAGAATTGGAAGTCCTTTCTGTTCGACTTTGAGAGGACTGGACTGCAGTAGCCTGGAGAAAAGCCTCGGCAGCATGAGCCAAAGCCCACATCTGACGGAGTCTCCTCACACCAGAGCCAAAGCAGGTTGTGGGAAGACAAAGCGTATCAGAGGGTACGTCTAGGGGGATGTGGTGTCCCAACAAAGTGGTAACAACAGACCTCCTCCACCTGAGGAAAAAAAATCTGGAGCAGAAGGTCGGCAGGCTGCCTCATGATTGACGGTACAGAACACGTCCAGGTCTGGAGGAAGGTCGTGTGCTGGAAGGAGGGTGCTGAGAACCCCACGTTCAACTTGTGATGACGTGAAGCTCCGTTTCTGCCTGGGTTATCAGCTGGAGCACACAGTGTAGCTGTAGCTTGCACACACCAAGGCTCCTTGCAAGCTGTTTGCTGCTTGTTGTTTGCTCAGGAAGAGTTTTTGAGCTCCTTTGCCTTTGTCTCTGACCCCACCAGAATGCCACGTTGCTCTTCGACAACACTTAACCAGAAGTTTTGAGAGTCAGGGTACCACCAAGCCAGAGAGCTGCAGGGCTGCTACTTAGACATCTTCCTTTGGTTCCCCTCGTAGTGAACAGCATCAGCCAGAATCCGCAACTACACCAGCAACACCTTGCTGGCATCTCCTCCCTCTTTTGGGATATGCTCACTACTGTGGAGCTTTAAGCTTCAGAGCCACAGGCACCGAGTGTTTGCACAGGGTCCAGTGGAAAACAATTCCATCCTCTGGGCATCGAGGCAAAGTAACAGAGAAGCAAAATTCATCCATGCAAACTGCCAGGCCAGCTTTGAGAGCTTCTGGCCTTTCAGATGCCCTGATGATGTCCGCAGAGAGACGAAATAGGACAAGATGTTCTGCACAGCCGCCTCCAGCTTGAAACAGAAACTACAGCCAGCAAGTCACAACCGCAGGAGACAGCTCACTCCTGGGTATATCCCTCACTAGCACTAGAACGATCTTCACAGCTTCTCCTGCACAATTAACCTGTCCCTCCTCATCTGCTTTCGTCAACCTTAAGCAAGCTGGATCCCCGCTACACCCCCGCACTCTGAGTTACTCTGATTTATAGTACAGCTCTCTGCGGCTGAGCAGTTGGGGTAGCAAGGTTGCTCCATGCCTCCAAGAGGGATGTTGTCCTGCATCTGAAGGTACATGACTGATTTTCCCATCCAACCTCCCTGCATCGTCCCTCCAGACCCCCATCCTTGGGACCTGCCATGGAGGGCAGGAGGCTGCACGCTGCCAAACCCCATCGTCTTCCCCCTACTCCTTTTGTCACAATCCTCTGGCAAAAATCACATTCTGGGAGAGCTGTGAAGGGCTTCTGAGAAGAGACACAGCTTCTGTTAATTATCCTACACGCACGCTTCAACCCTGCCTTGAGTTTGCCACCGGAGAGAAGAGCTCATTTAGAGGCAGGGGGAAATGAAGCAATTAAAAGAATAGCTACAAGCCTAGTGAAGAGATAACAAACAACAGAGCAGCAGAATGCTAATGCCATGTTCTTGGCTGCTTGTGAATGGACCCGTACAGCTCCTCGGAGAAGTCCTGCTCCAGTGAGCAGATCTCTCCCCAAAGAATTGTCCTCTGCAGCGATGAAAAACGTACAAGATTTTAAAATCCCCTGCCTGGACTAAACTTATTTGGTTAACAGCCAGGTCTGACCTCTCCCTGCTTTCACAAGGACTGAGAGGTGCTCCTCCCTTCCGAGGGGATGCAGAGTGGGTATAAGTGTTGCCCCAGGGAGTTGGAAGAAGACGGGAACCACAGATCAGACAAAGCAATTTTCGTCCAATATCACAGTAACATTTCTAAAGGGTTTCATCCCGTCAGTCGTGACCCTAAGACTTGTTTGGCTTTCCATTTGCTATGACTTTTTCCTTTTGATATTGATACATATCGCTAGAAAAAGTTAAGCAAAGGTGTAGATAATTCTGCAAATCTAACAGGATTTCCCAGGTGAGCATCAGTCTAACGTTTTCTGTTCTGCCACTAAACCAAATCTATCTATCTATATATAAATATACGTGTCTACATATCATACACATAATTTGGGATTCCAGCAGTATTGGCATTAATATAACTTATCGTTACCTCCTCACTGATCTTCAGGCAGCTCCCCATAAAGCACTGCTGAAAATTCCTGAAATAGCAGGAGTGACGGTGACAAACCACCTCGCAACATCTTGCTTTTGCCTCCTGCTTCAGTGGGGAAGAGAGCCACAGGGCAGCCTTTCCACCACCTTCTCAACTGGAGCAAGTCAAGAAATGGGGACAGATACTGATTTTGTCTGCTCCAGTAAGGCAGTTCCCTGCTCCTAAAAATACTCCAGGAAATTGAATCAACATTTTGTAATTCGGCTGGTAACAGCAATTACTAATAATCAGCGGGAACGTAATTTTCTTCATTTTCTACTCTAGCTGTAATGTAATTCCAATAGCAAACTTTGTTTCATGCACTAAACAAACATGATGGGCAATATGAGGAAAACACAGAGTATCAAAAAACAGCCTTAAAAATAAACAAATTTCTACCAAACAGCAAATATCTGTCATTCAGACAGCCTTTCGGAAAGCTAAAGTTCACATTGTTCCTATGCGAAAAATGAAAATGGAGAAACGAAAGCTCCAAACCCCTTGCTCGGTGGCAGCAGCGCTCGAAATCGCAGCCCTAGTGCCTGGGCACGGCTGGAGGCTCTGCCTTCCTACCTCACCAATTTACTGCGAGGAGAACAGGAGACAGGGCAGGGTGACAAGCACACACACAGCTTGAACGACTGTATTAGATGCAAGACTGCAGTCAGGCAAACGGCTTCCTTCCGTAGCGAAAAGCACTTTTGCAGAAGGAGGCCCAGCTCTGAAATAGGTTTCCTGGAGACTGAGAAAGCTCTTGCTGATAAAAACCTGAGGAATATTTTCTCCCTCCAACTTGATAAATTTGCTGTAGGTGTCTATGCTTTCCAGATCAACAAGCAAGTGCCAATTGCATGCCAGGATTTAACTTGGAAGGGTGACCAACTCATTGCTTTTCCTTCCAGCCAAGAACAGCAGATGCTATGCTGCTCTGTGCAGGGACTGATGACTGGATCAAGCCAGACTGGCAAAAGAAGAATGCTACTGCTTTGTGAGAACTCTTGCCATGCTCAGGAGCTGCTCAGCGAGACTCCGCTTGTAGACAGCACTGTTGCATGACATTTAGAAATGGCACGTATTCTCTCTCTCCCTTACAAAGGCTCAGGGCACGCTGCAGACTCTCTACAGCCCCCAAGCAAAACACGGATTGCGAACCAATTTCCCATTTCGAGAAAGCCAGAAGAAACATCGAGACACTACCCATGGGATACATGCATCAGCTCTCTGCAACCTCTCAAAGGCCAGCTGAGAGCTGATAAGCTCGGGCAACGCCATAAATGATTTCAGAACTGAGGTGGTGGGCACCTGAGTCCCTGAGTCTATAGAGAGCACACCGGGAAGCATTGCCTGGAGCTCGGTTTCTGCCATTGATTTTCCCTGCTGGCATCACAGCTGCCGTGCAGAGAGCTCAGTGCTGTTTGTGGATCTGTCCCGTCGGTGCTTTGCCCAGGCTCTGTGTGGACAGAAGTACGGCCGCATCAGGCTGCTGGGACCAGAGCAGAGACAAAGCATCTATGACAGCAGCTGGAGGGCTTAGGCTGGTTTCCACGCTGCTGAACTTCACCTTGAAGGGAAGGGGGGGGCTTGTTTCTATCCAGTGCTAGAGTAATCACTGCTCCAGGAGACATGTTGGAGGGGAGGCAAAGCAGACATGGTCCAAGGGCAGCGAGAGATCACAGACAAGGTCACAGATCATTCCAATTTGGTGCTGTAGAACACCTGAACAGAGATTCACATATTTTATAGCACTCTGTGAAACAGGAGGGTGTCAGCATGGGAAAACTTACTTGGTGTTGTCGGAATCAATGGTATGAAAGAGCTTCTCTAGTTCTTCTTCGTTGAGCGTCCCATCAGAAAAAAAGGCCTGGAACTCCTCCAGGGACAGCTTCCCATCATCTGCAAACAGCAACACAGCTGCCATTAGGGAATCGGCAAAGCGAGGGGCACAAGAAAATCAGGAGTTTTATATTTAGATTTAAAGATTCAGTTTAAAACTATCTCAAAGTGCTTCTGCAGAACCGGTCCAGTGCAGAGCTCACTGGCCACAAAGTGGGACCTGGTAGCAGCAGATCCAGGTGAAGCTTCATTACTCCTGGGTAGGACGCACTGGTCATGAGCAACTAACTGAGCTATTAACCCAAAGGCTGGCGTAGAGAACCCTGAAAAAAAAATCATCCTGAAACTGAATTACATTTAAGAAATTATGGAGCGTTTTGTCCACCGTATGTTCAAACAGTGCAGGACTCTCATTAAGGGTCACGTAACGGACAAGCAAAGACCTAGGGCTGGAATTAGCAGCAGACCCAGCAGCAATTTTCGCAGTCACCATCCAGCTGAACCTTCCCCAACACAGAGCATCTCCCAGCACCAGCCAGAAATGTGTAATTGCAATTCCCAAGCATAACAAGACACATTCTGCTTCAGTTGTCAACTGCAAAAACACACAAGGACTGTGTCACCTTAGCGTTGCGCCTTTACTTCTGAAGGGACCTGATGACGCACAGAATCCATCTGCCCGGCCATACGGGCCACAGCTTGCCGGGTGCCTCCCGGCAAATTGACCAGCACGCGAAGGACTCACACGACTGAGGTTTAATAATGGTCTCCTGGGCACCTAGAGGTGAACTTGCAGCAATGTTGGCAGCAAGCTCCATGCTCATCCTTGAACTGATATTTCAACAGCAGCTCTGGCCAGAAGTCCACAGGCATATGAAGTGGCCCTGCGTGTTATTTCGTATATTCGCCCCAGTGTTAATTTAACACCGGGGTTACAACAGCCTACTGAAACGACGAAGAAAAAAACCCAAACCGTTAAATCTATATATGAGAGGATATGAGGAGTACTCCTTTGCAACTTTTGCTGGTAAAGTGACATGGGCTCACACACACTTGTTCAATCTGGAACCCGTGCTGTTTACAGGTACAGCACATCTTTAAAGCCACAGCTGGATGTGAGAAGGTCTGGAGAGAGCCCCTATGAAGTTCAGCAGTAAAGCCACAGGAGAGAGACAAAATGAACTTTTAAGAAACTTTAATTTACTTCGAGTTTCTCATTCAAGCTGCTGACACCGTGCTCTGGTATGCAGCAGTGCCTGGGGGGAATAACCCCCTCGTCACGTACTGCTTAGAGACTCTCCACTCATATCCACAGAAGATTCATACACTGGAAATGCTGCCTACTTTGCAGTTGGAGAATGTATCATTTATTATTTAATCAAATCAATTATAAACTCTGTTGTTTCTCTTTCAGGAAATGATGCTGGAGAACAAAATCAGCCGACTTACCACACACACGTCAATACTTCTTTCTCAAACTAAATAGGTCTGCTGCTCCTTAAACGTACCTGCATCGCCAAATGCTAACCCACTTTGCCTTGCCTAGACACAGACAAATGTAGACCAGTGATAAAGTGAGTCTAAGATGCCTATTTAATTGGCAATTAGGAAAGGAACGCAGCAGGAGAACAAAGTCTCCAGCAACACTGGGTGAAAAGGGGACCATTTGCAGAGCACCACAATGAGAGGGCCCAGCTGCCCACATTGTTTTTCTGTGTTTCCTCCCTAAAACGTGACCTCTCTGCAGCAGGCAGGGTGCAGAATAACAATTCAAAACCTAGAGGAACAGGGCCCAGATTTGCTTTCTCCTTCTGATTTCAGAAAACTAAAGCATTTGCACTTCAACGAGCTCGAAGCGCCCTGCCAGTGTCACCCAACCCAGTGGTGACAGACCAAAAAAACCTGTGCCCAGAGCAAGAGCCCCATCCACACCACACACCTCCACCTCTGCACAGCACACAGCTGGATGAGAAGCTTCCCCCGCAGTGCTCCTATTTATCCTGGCCAAGATCAAGGTTCGGTTTCTCCTGCTCCTGACTGGCAACAAATCTATGTCTTCGAGCACCAAGATCAAAAGGATAACGGCATTTCTCTCCGGCGACAGCCAAACAGACCTTTATCTGGGGTACAGTTCCTGCAAACCTTAATTTAAACAGGTGCCTGTCCCCCCCGAAATTGTTCTTCCACACAGAGGGCAGGCAGACTTCGCAGGAAAGTCACATAAATCGACTTACCAGGAAAGCGAAACTGAAAAATTGAAAATTTCAGTATGAATGTTCACTTCTGAAAGGCACAAATGGGTTTCTAAGCTGAAGGAAAAAATCTTTTCCCTTTACTTAATTTCAGTGTTACAATTTACCCTTCACTTTACCTTTGATTTTATTTTGTTTTTTAAGTAAAGCCTGCCAGGCTGAATTTTTGCTGCAGCCTCTGAAACACGGTGTTTAAAATCGGTGCCAAAAAGCCGCTTTGATCCCCATCTCTCTGTCTCCAGAGTCACAGGTACCAACTACCACACCAGATCACTTAAAACCAACAGCACGTGCACCAGGATTTTTTTTCTTGGCTTTTAACAGCTCAAAGTAATACAGGATGGGCGAAGGATCTAGAGGAAGAAGGAGGTGACAGTCAGTTTTATTTCATTTTTGTTGTCTGGAGACTCCACAGCAATTTATATAAAAGTACAATTTTTTACTCATAAACAATGCTTGAGATTTTCCTCCCCTAACAAATAACATCATGAAGTAGCAGTCAGCTTAAAGCTGATGGTTATTTAACACAAGCTGGAATACCTGTCTGCAAACACACAAAGCAAAAGCCCTGCAGAGCAGCGAGATAATCCCGGAGCTGCGTATCTATAATTGTGAAACGTCTGGGAAGCTGCGGGTTGCTGGAGCCCAGCAGGCAGCGAAGCTTTTGGGGAACTCGGGCGATAAGGGGAAGCAGACCAGGCTGAGATTTGGCAGTTCAAATTAAACTGGTAGAAAATCCCAGGCAAGGAGGATTGACCACAATGTCACCAACACTGGGTCCTCACGCCGCCGTGTGCCGTGATAAGAGCTGTCGGAGATGCTGTTCTCCGGGAGCAGCCTTATCAGGGAAGTCGCAGGGAAGCAAGCTTGTTCTGAAAGAAGAAGTGCCTGCGCTCGCCAAAGAATGGATAAGATGTCCAGAAACCTGCTTTTTGCTGGAAGCTCCTGGGCACGGGAGAGGTGAGTTTTCCAAATGAGCTGTCAGGCATCGTTGCAGGTTGTACTGTTCCACCTGCCCTACGCCCTGCCCCGTAGGAGATCTCCTGGGGACACTTCCGTAGGTACCTACTTCTGATAGGATGGAAAAATTGAGATTCTGCACGGAGCAAAACGATGCTTCCATCAGTTTTAAGATCGAGAGAAGCCTTTGTGACTTTTCTTTGGATGAGCACACTAAAGGCAGACAACCTTCTCTCACCTTCCCTCCCCCTCAAGTCCAGTACTTGAAGCCAACTCCTAAGCTGGCAATGAGGACAAATGCCACCAACACCTACGTTGGCACCCGTCAGCTGAGAAAAGAGATCATCAGGCCACAGCTCTTCTGCCATTATTTTTTTCCTGAGACAGTAATCAGTACTTTACTCTGGCTTTTCAAAATAATTGACCAAAAGCAAATTACCAGCCAAATGGAGTTATCAAAGTTAGAACTAAGTGAATAGAAGGATATAACAGAGAACATCAGAAAGCCCCAACTGGGATTTTATTATTGCTCCATTTGCCATCGTGAAATTCTGAGGAGTCAGGAGGTGGATTTTACACCTTCTAACCTGCACAATCAGGCTGCTCTCACCCACCGACACAGCCAGGGGAAAAGTCAGACTAAGATCATAAATAGTCCAAAACACAGGAAATCTGATGGTTGAGTTTTCTGGAAATTCACTCACCGATACAAAATAGCTTGAAGCATCTACAAAATAAGGTCACTGTTCTGAGCCTGAGTTTTAAATCCACTTTCAATTACATCAGGTTGGGACTGCTCATATATTTTCTAGCTACATTATGAATATATTTCACTACTTATTTTTATTACCCCACGAGTTCTAAAGTGCTTCAAGCCCCACTTAGTGTGCAAGCACCAGCAAAGCTACAGGGAAGCAAATTGGATTTCATTGTGGCCTGTGAATAGAAACGACAACTGTATTTTTTTTCTTCTTTCTTGTGGAGGGCAGGTTTTGTGCAGATACATGAGCCAGCAAGAACATGGGCTGACTTCTCCCCTAGACCCTTCATCCAGCCCCTTCAGAAAGACAGTGAGAGCAGCTCCTCTGCCACTCGCCCAGGCATGCAGCAGCCAGCTGAAAATTCTCCACTCACTTTGACTCCAGTCTTAAAGTGTTATTTCAGGGGCAACTGAATTCAGCTGGAAGCTGAACAGTTCACCTCCAGCCACGGCTGAAGCTGCAGAGCCACAGGAGCTCTGGCTGAGGAGCAAAGCCCGCGTTTCGGGGGCTCCTTCCAAGGACGGTGCCACTGCCACTGGAACAGAGCCCCTGCAAATCTCTTTGCTGATGAGATGTAGCACACATCTTTAGAAGGACAATACTACAATTAATAGTATTTTTTTAGTGAAATGACTCCAAAATAATCTTTTTTAAAAAAAAATCCATTGATTAATGCCTAGCCCAGATGTTTCCACAAGGGTTGTTACCACACCAAGCAAACCTGAGAGACGGATGTTTCCATTGCAACTGATAATCTCTGTTTGAAACACTCCTGTGCATTTCCCAGTTGCTAAAGGGACGGACTGGTTGATGCTGGCACGGGAATGCAAGGCTGGCAGGGAAGTTTCCCATACAAAGCCAGGGACTAAACTTCAGGAGCTGGGCTTTTGCTTATGCAATTCATTGCCTACTTGACAAATTTGAAGCACAGCATTCATCCAAATATTTACTCAGTTTTGGTCCTTTCTTTTTCGTGGTGGAACTGGTGCATGGCACTGAGCCACATTTTTGTTCCAGGGTTAACCTCTTCAGTGCCATTAAAAATTGGGCCCAAAAAAGTGACTTTCATTTCAAAATGACCACATCA